GCAATCCGATTAATATGGTGAGTGATCTTTCAGGTCAAATGGTGAAAACCTGATTCGGTCCACAGCGGGGCAGGTACAAAGTATATACTATGCTGTTTCATCATTTTTCAAACAGAGGCGATACACACTGTCTTCCGACAGTCCGACGCTTTACATATGATGATTCAGACGAGGGCGACCTGTGAGGAGGCCTGTTAGACATCGTAGTTCATCCCTGCAATAGTCCAACAACTGTTTGGTTTCGAACTTCGAAGGGTGAATAAACGCCTTGGAGTGAGCCAATCATGCCAGAAGTCTTTGAATCTTCTTGCCATTCAGGTGTTCAATGTTTGTTTGACAAAGCCCAAAGCGATGCCAATGACAGGTTCTGGTCCGATGAAGCTACTTGAAGCACCCTCTTTTGCAACGGAGTCAGCAGCCTCATTACCTTTCAGGTCAGTGTGGCCAGGAATCACTTTAATGAAATGAATAAAAACACTTTTGTCTATTTTCCACTAGTTAATTTTATTTATACGATCGGTTTCGAGTTTAACTCCATTATCAATTTGCTACCAACTCAGATATTGCTTGGTAGGAGCCAAGCATTGACTTGTATGTTAGGTTAGATACTACCAATCTCTCCGCTCCCAATTCGATAGCATAGATTTCCGCTTGAAATACAGTCGCATAGGAAGGTTGATAATCTCTGTCCTGGGTCTGAAACTGAACACACCTGCACAGAGCCCGAACGAGTTTTTGATCCTTCTGTAAACCCACAACTATCTGCTCTTAAAATTTCCTTCTTCCGGAGGATCCAATCCTCTCTACTCTCTCTACGAAAAAAGTACTGTATAAGGCAGTTCGTAGTTGACAGTTGGAGGCATAATATCAGAGGTCATTCCCAGAATGCTGTGACTTCCAGTGTCAGCTATCAGTCTATTTAACTCTGCATTAAATTGCTTTGTGCAATTGGTGATCTGCACAAGTTTATATGCAGTCCATCTAGCCTCTCTTTCCAGAAAAATGAAGAGGAGGTAGTTCTGGAAGGATCTTCATGGCCGCTGACGATGTAGTAGTGATGGAAGCACAGATAGCCAGACAAGCATGTCTCTGTAAGCCAGAGAGCTTCGCCTGGGCCATTTTTTGTAAAGCCTTCGGCCACCAGGCAATTGCACCATAAGTGATCATTGGTCAGACAATCATCACATATATCCAATGGATTTGTTTGGAACCTAAACTTCAAGTGTCACCACAAATCCTTCGACATGTCTATAGGTACAGTCTGGATTTGTGTAAAACTTTTTCCAAATGAGCGTTCCAGGTGAGTTTTTTTTTCAAGGACAGTGCCAAAATATTTCACCTCAGCTCCAAATGATATGACCTCACCACTGAGGAAAGGTGGTGTTAGATCGTCCAACTTTCTCCTACTAGTGAATGGGATTATCACAGTTTTGCTGGTGTTGACAGACATCTGCTCCCTCTGCCACCAACTGTGAATCACGTCCATCGCACTTTGGAGGATATTATACACGCTACCCTTCCTGACGTGGACCTTGCCAAGATGACAAGCTCATCTGCATAAGCTAATATAACATATGGATTAGTTTTCAAAATGAATTTTCGAAAAAAAATTCAGATTCTTATCCCATAAACCGTTAGGCGGTATTTTAGTTGCGTTCAATACACGTAGCTGTTTTTCGAAAGGCATTTACCAGAACCTACGGTGTAGGTAGTTGGGAGGATTGAATATTTTGAGATTTAATTTGAAAACATTCATTTTCTAGTACTGTCTTCAGACACGGTTTGATCCCAATTGAGGAATTTTTAATTTTTATATTTTTAGTATTTCGTTTGATAAATGACGACTCTCTCAGTCATTGAATGAATATTTTATTAGAATGAAGAAATGTATCGTTCAGAATATGATAATGTAGCATATGTGTTTCAATGTCAGTCGTTATTTTGTTTCATGCTCATTAAAACTTCATTATTTAATTATCTTCATTTTGTGAGTGTTCTTATTCGACGTTATATTCAGTTATTGTATTCATTTGTACATTTTTACTTTCCAGATGAAACCAGCAGATGAAACCTATATCGACTGTGCTATTAATACCCACTTGATAAATCACCACCAGGAACTATATAGTTCTCTGGTCGCCGATCGCGTTCAAGAGTGCATCAATTTGCTCACCTTTGCGTTATAAGGAAATTTCACTTTTGACGCGAAATTTCCCCTGAGAATCGTTTTCAACGTAAATATAAACCTCTAGGTTATTTGCAGGGAAAGTTATAGCTGTTAACGGTGATCGTCTGATATTTACGAGATTGTTTTCTTACCAGTCAGGACGTCGTTATGAATTCTTAGAGTTCCTTCAACTTTTCCTCGTAGTTTGGCTTATCGGAAATATGTTAAGTATGGGGAATTGGGAAGAAATACGACGATATTGAAGGAGAATATTGTACAATAAGCAGATAATCTAACAATTTCTCACGGATATGCAAATTACTGAATGAGCCTACCCAATGCTAGTGACGAATGGGCATCGTATTTCTTAAATCAGGAATAGAGTCGTATTTCGTGTAAATAATTTATTTGTAAATTATAAAGAGCTTTCGGCTTTTACGCCATCATGCAATTCCTGCAACTAAGTAATAGTCGTGAAATTTGTTTGAAGTTGAACTTTAAATTCTTCATTAAATTACTTACTCGTCAAGTATATCCAAGAAGATCCTGTAGAATCAAAGTACAAAACCTCAGTTAAACATCACCCTGAGTAGACGTGAACATGAACATTACAATGAATACCCCTTTGGGTTCAACATATTAATATTTTGTTAAAAAATTATAAAATTATTTCCAGCGTGCTCAATGAGTACGAGAAAGAAACGGAATAGGACAGTCATTTTGGGGGTTTGCCTAGGAAAGTGGACATACCCAGCTGTAAATTTGTATAAACTTTGTATTTTGGCATCATAAAAGTATTCTCAAAATTCACATGTGATTCGATGGCCGTAACTTCAAAAATTGGGGGTCAAAACTCAAAAAACCGACTTTTTGTACGTTTTTTGCCAATATCTCGTTTCCAGTGGGTTTTATGCTAATTGTATTTGAAATCAACTGGTT